CACCCATAAGGGACGCTGGTATTGCAGGCAGTGGCTCAACCTGCTACACCACAGCATGAATTCTTCAAGCTGTATACTTCAAATAAATATCAGTAACTTAGTGCACATCAGTCCTATCTTATTAGGACCACAATAACAGCGCAGATTTGGTGCAATGATTAAGACACAAGTTGGGACATCTACACTCCCCAACAGCGTGCCTCTGTTCCAGTCCCTGATCTGCTTTTTAGTCTAGCTTCCTGCTAATATGCACCCTGGGAGACAGCAGGTAGCAGTCAGGTACATGCTAGCCAAGTGGGAGACCAGGACTGAGTTTCTGTTCCTGCTTTCTGCCTGGCTCACCCCAGCTATTGCATTTGGGAGTGAAGAGTGAATGGAAGATCTCTCTTTCAAATAAAAGCAAATAAACTCACAATGACATACCACTATATAGCCATTAGAATACCTAATGCATCTAAGTTCAGTCTGTACAAACTTAAAAACACAGCCACACCTTACATTAGCATTATAACAAAAGCAGCACTAATTCAGTAGTCAAAAATTGGAAAACCTCAAAGTCCATTAGATGGAAAAACAAACTGTGGGGATATCCACACCATGTACTACTATCCAGCAACAAAAATAAATTTATCACCACCACCACCACAAGGACAAATCTGTAAAACAAAGTCTAAACAAAAAAGGGCAAACATGAAAGACTATGTATACTGTAGGAGTCATGTATATGATATTCCAAATAAGATGAAACTACAGGGATATTCGATTTGCGGTTGCATGGGACTGAGAATTAGGATCCACTCTAATTTCTACCGCAAATGTGAGAACACTTCACATACTTTCTGTACCTGCAAGATTTATACAATAATCTCAACAGAGCTGCTCTAAGCAATCAATTTAATAACAAAGTTAATTTTTATTTCTAAATTGTTTACGCTGTTAAATTATGTTTTCCCATGGTCCTATAAAGCCCTCAGTTACTGCTTTTGCACTTACTCCTGTGATGATAAATATTTGCTCAATTAATATGAAATTAATGCCTCACTTTGGAATGCTCCAATTCCCATTCCATAACATTTCGCTTTAATATCAATTCACCTTGTAATCATCCAGAGAACATTTTAAATGACATGCTCAACCTCTCCAGTACCAGTAATACAAATAACCTTATCTACAACAACTTAATTGAACCTAAATTATGATTACTGCTTGGCTACTCATTTAAAGAGGCATACTTAATTTGCAAGATATTAAAGTGAGAAAAATTGCTTCCTATAGTAAGTATGGTTCTTTGTTATTTTAAAATACAAGCGTTAAGGTAAATTGTAAACTATTTCTTAACCAGTCTTAGGAATTAGTTGGTGAACCTAGATCCCTTCCTCACAAAGGAACAATTAAAGAACAACAAAAAGTGCAGCTACAGCTTTTTATAATTCGTACAGTGGAATAAACCAGCTTGTCTTCAGAACTGAATGGCAAGGCAAGAGATTTTAGAGGCTTGTAAGGGAAGGAAAGGAGAAAAACTTAGCAAGTGGGTAGCCCAAGAGACCCAAGTTCAAGTTTCAAACCCACTCAAATGCCTCCTAAAGATGAAAAACAGATAATTCCTGGCTCAGAGAGGTTGAAGTCTATTAGTAAACTGTGAGAATAATAATAATAAAGTATCTTGAATGAAGAAAATATAGAATTACAGAAGTATATATATAATCTATCTGCTTGGAACAGTCATGTAAGGCTTCAGAAAGCGGGTGGCTGGCTCTCAACCAAGACCAGAAGATGAGTAATATTATGCCAATGTACGTCCAAGCAGGATGGGAGAAGTCATTTCAAGTAAAGATCAGAGTGTATGTACTTCAACATCATCATGTGGCAGGTGCTGTTTTACACACACTCATTAAAAGATACATCTAAAACAAGACAAAAATATTTGGAGATGTGACCTTAAAGCTCATTCTTCAAATAGCCCAAACACAAGGCTCTGTTCAAAAAAAAAAAAAAAAAGTCAAGAGTTCATCATTGTAGCTACTAAAGTGGTATTACCAGTTTAGGCTACTAAGAAACTGACCAAAAAAGGTTAAAGGAAAAAACTGGAATCTTCATGAGAAACTTTGAAAAAGGACATATTCCAGAAAATCTGGAAGATATACACCTGCCCAAGGCTGTGTGCATGCCTAGGAAATTACTTTGAAGATCCAAAGGTCTCACCTCTATCTGACCTCGAGGCTCCATGCACGCAGAACGTAAGGGATAAGTCAGAGCTGCTTGATGGAACGCTAGTCGTGTGCCTCAAAACAGAGACCTCCCCAATAAGGGTGTGGACACTTATTGACTCAAGACATTTAATGAAATATCTGTCACATCATCAGCTGATCAGTAATAGAACAGAACAGAGACTTTAATGGCCACACATTAAGAATATAAACTTTACAGAATTAGCCTAGGAAAGTTGCTAAACAAATAACAACAAATGGGGGTGTGAGAAGAGGTGTCTCTAAACAGGAGTTCTGACACATGATTTCAATTTTGAACAAAATTACGAGACACACAATGAAGCAGAATAGCTCATAAACCAGTATGAAGAAGTCAATATAAACCTTTCCCTGTAGAAGCCCAGGCATTGCATTACTATAAACAGCCAATACGTAATACTGCTGCTTTTCTGTTTTCAAAGAAACCCTTTAGAGCATACTGCATGCTTTTGTGGTTCAAAAAACAATTCAACATGTTACTGTACTTATATTTATACTGAAAAGCAGTGAAGGTTCTAATTACCATAGGGATCCTACTCTTAACAATTAAAAAAACACAAAAAAACAAAAAACCTCTAATGGGAGCAGGCATTTTGCTTAGTAGTTAGATACCCACATCCCACATGGGAGTGCCAGTGTTCAAGTCCCAGCTCTGGCTCCTAACTCCATCTTCCTGCTAATGTCACCCTGGGGGCCATGGTGACAGCTCAAGTACTAGGTTCTTGCTGTCCACATGAAAGACCTGGATTGAGTTCTCTGGATCCTGGATTTGGTTCTGGCTGGACCTCAGCCATTATATGCACATGGGGAGTGAAATTAGAAGACAAGAGCTCTGTCTCTCTTTGCCACTCAAATTAAGTAGAATAATACATATTCTAAAAGGTTATAAACAGGCCAAAGAAAACCACCACACCTAGTTGTTCTTACTTCCCATCTCCCAAATAACTATACATGTGAACTCAATTAAAATGCCTCCTAGATCTCACTAAGGCCACCGTGACAGAGTATGTTCCACAGTTTTGTGGCCAAGAATTTTCTCCATAGTGAGATACAACTCACTATCGTGAGCAGGAAAAGAGCCTAACAAAACTTTTCCAGCAGATTCTCAACCAAGATTTAACCCCATTTACAAGTATCCCCCTTTAGTCTACCTCCATTTTGACAACAGAAGGCCTACCCAGGTGTATATGCTCAACATGCACCTCTAAGTGCTCCCTGTGTTCAACATACCCTGCAGGAACACTGATCTGGTTCTGACTGGCACACATACATCTACCCCTTCACAAATGTTCACTGAGCACCTGTTATATGTCACAGAACATATACCTCAAGAGAATGACCAAGCTCTTGTCAGAAAAGTTTAACCTTGAACTGTCATCAAACTAGTTAAAAGACATGGTATTTATAGATTACAGTTCAATTTCTTACTGTCATTTTTCTCTTCCAATGAAACCATGCCAATGAATTGTATTAGCTCATTTTGTCATTTTACCAAACTCTAATTTAGTGTCATGCCAGTGACCTCTATTGAGGGTCACCATCAAAAACCAGTACGAGTTGATAAAAGCCAATAGTTCAGAGTACTATGTGTTATACACCAGGCTATGCACTGTCCATGCATTAATTTATTAATCCTTTACAAATAATCCTATTTACGAAGTATCACTATTATCCCCACTTCACAAATAAGGACACTGAACTGCTAGGAGGTTAAATAACTTCATTAAGAGCATACAGCAAAGAGTTAAGATGTAAACCCAGAGAGAAAGCTTGCAGAAACTGTCCTTAGTCACTATACTACACTGCCACTATTCACTATGTGAGGATTTTTAGCTCTTTGTTCATTATATCCTTTAATGTTTTCCAAACACTTCCTAGGAGAAAATTTTTAATACCAAGAATGGCGCCTTAGCAATTGATCTGTTCTCACAACAAATGTTGTAATAGAGTAATTTTTGTTTCTTCTGCAGAAGGTGCTTCAGAACTAAGCTAGATACAGCACACCTAGCATCTTACTTATATTTCTAAGTTGACTGATTATCTCTCACCTGGCCTATCTATTTCATTTCACCAATTTCCTTACTTATTTTTAAACAATGTCACGTCAATCTTTATTCTACAAAAGGTTTGGCTAACAAGGTTTGGTACAAATAATTAGCAACTTGAATCCAACAAAAACAGTTTACAGAAATCCAAAGATAATCACCTTAAAGAATATTAGATAACAAAAATGCTTCTTGGTTTAATCTTCACAGTTTTTAAACAAGGACAAGAAATCAAATGCAAGTGAAAGAACAGCAAGAACCCAGGAAAATTTTACAGATCCTTAGTCTTAATTTCAAAATGTCAGATCTTCATGGCATGACACACGCTCTTTCTCTGCCTACCTTTAAAACCGGAAGGGAAGGAGGGAGGGAGGAAGGAATGAATAGGGGTGCATGTTGTGGCATAGCATTATTAAAAGTCACCAACTGTGATGCTCATATCCCATCTCAGAGTGCTGGTTCATGTCCTGGCCACTTTGCTACTACTACAATTTCCTTTTAATGTGTCTGAGAAGGCAGATGTCTCAAAGTACTTGGGTCCCTGCCACACATGTGGAAGACCTGGAGGGAATTCCAAGCCCTGGCTTTGGTCTGGTTCCAGCCCTGGCTGTTGTAGGCATTTGGAAAATGAACCAGCAGATGGAAGATCTTCCATTTCTCTTCTGTCACTCTGCCTTTCAAATAAGTAAATCTTAAAAGAAATAATTACCTGACTTCAAGGGCTTTGATAGCTTCCAGCATTTGTAGAAACTCTGCTGCTTTCCACACATCATTGGCTTCCTCTTCTCCTTGTATCATTAATTTTGCTGTATAAGTGAACTCAATTAAATGACGAAAGGCCATTTTACTAACACCTGTAAAGAAGATGTACTTTAGCATGTATTCACATTAATTCAAAGCCTAAAACATTCAGTAAGGAAAAAAAAAGTCCGATGCTAAGAACTTGATTAGTGTGTGTCATTTTCGCAAATTATTTCCCAGAAAAATTCATTAATTGTATAACAACATTGTAGCCAAATTTCAACACCACCTAGCATACTACTTTATAAGATCTTTCCCAAAGATTTCTGAAACTAATCTTAAAGAACTGTAATATCTATTATTCAAACATAGTACATGTTGGACATGCTACATTTTGTGCCAGAGAGATTACAGCTGTGTCAACTCAGCTCTAAAATCTTCAAGGCTTTCCATAGCTTAGTAAATAAAGTGTACTGCTTCTTTGTCATTATTTCAAGGTCCTTCATATTATTTTTCTACTTAACATTTTAAATTTTAAACCAGTTCAATTCCAAACTACACATTATTTCTTAAACCCTGAATTCTCTAACGACTTCCATGCTTTAATAGTACTTACCCTCCTTCCTGAATGCTGAGCAACTACAATCTTTGAAGGCCCAACTCTGATGCCACATCTTCAATGAAACATGTATATTATTGTAGTAAAAAAAAATTGAGCTCTACTCTTTTTAATAAATTTTTAAGAGTATATTATTGCTGACTTTGGGTACTCTGGTGTACAAATTGCTAGAGTTTGCATCTTGCTTGACTGAAACACTGGGCCTATCAATTGTTAACTGCCCATTTTTCCTACCCCTAGCCCCTGCTAATCTTTATTCCACTCGATGATTCTATCAATTTTTAAATATCTAAGTAGAAATATATAGTATTGGTCTTTCTGTCTTATTTCACTTAGTGTAATGTATTCAAGTTTCTTCTTCCTTGTGTTAATAGATTCATTTATTTGAAAGGCAGAGTGGGGCCGCTGCTGTGGTGTAGTGGATAAAGCCACTGCCTGCAGTGCCAGCATCCCATATCGGCGCTGGTTTGAGATCTGGCTGCTCCACTTCCGATTCAGCTCTCTGCTATGGCCAGGGAAAGCAATAAGATGCCCAAGTCCTTGGTCCCCTGCACTCATGTGGGAGACTTGGAAGAATCTCCTGGCTCTGGATCAGTGCAGCTCTGGCCATTGTGGCCATCTGGGGACTGAACCAGTGGATGGAAGATCTTTCTCTCTTTCTCTCTCTACGAGTAACTGCGACTTTCAAGTAAAATAAATAAATCTTAAAAAAAAAAAAAAAAAGACAAAGAGATCTTCCATCCACTGGTTCATTCCCCAAATGGCCACTATGACCGGGGGCTTGGACAGGCCAAAGCCAGGAGCCAGCAGCTTCCTCCAGGTCTCCCATGTGGGAATAGGGGCCCAAAGGCCCTCCCAGGTGCATTAGCAGAGAGCCAGATTGGAAGTGGAGAGCTGAGCCCAGAACTGGCATTGTACATGGGATGTCAGCACTGCAAGTTGTGGCTTTAACCTGCTGTGCCACAACGCCAGGCCCCTCAAGTTTCAATTTGTCACATATGGCAAAATTACCCTCCTTTTAAAGGCTGAAGTATCCTAAAAGGGTATTTAGAAAAATTTTGTGTAAAATGGAATTAAAAGATAAGTTTATTTTGGTGCAGGACATTTTTTGAAGGCCAGCCATGTGGCACAGTGGGTTAGGCCACCGCCTGTGCCACCAGATCCCACATTGGAATGTTGGTTCATGTCCAGACTGTTCCAATTCCAATCTACCTCCCTGCTAATGCGCCTGGAGAGGCAGCAGAAGGTGGTCCAAGTACTAGGACCCTTGCTACCCTCGTGAGAGATACTGATGGAACTCCTGGCTTCAGCCTGGCCTAGCCCTGACTATCACGGCCATTTAGGGAGTAAACAAGTAGATCTCTCACTCAGTAATGTTGCCTTTCAAATAAATAAAATAAATCTTTTTAAAAACTTCTGAAATTAATGCATACAAATCTTAAAAAGGCTCATGAAAATGATTATGAAAAAAGTATACATAAATCTCAAAAAAAATTTTTTTGCACCAAAACACTCACTTCTATTTTTCCATGAGCTGTATACAATGAGCACCTCAAAAAAGTATATGGAAAGAAGAATTCTGAGTGCTGTGGCATAGCAGGCTAAGACTGCCTGTGGCGCCAGCATCCCAGGTGGGCCCAGGTTTGAGTCCTGGCTGACCCTCTTCCAATCCAGCTCTCTGCTATGGCCTGGGAAAGCAGAAAATGGCCCAAGTGGTTGGGCCCCTGCACCCACATGGGAGACTTGAAATTAATTCTGAGATCTATATATAGCTGTTTCATAACATATTGTCCTCCAGGAACTTATGGGACCCTTCATATATCATGTTTTCCTTCTCCCTTCATCTGTTGATGGACATTTAGGTTGTTTCCACATCTTGGCTACCGAGCTGCAACACACACAGGAGGACTAATACTTCTTTGAGAACCTGATTTCAGTTCTTTGGGATAAATGCCCAGAAATATGTCTACTAGATCATAGGGTATTTCTACTGACAAAATTTTAAGGACCGTCCACACTCTTTCTGTAATAGCCTCATGCACCCCCACCAAGAGTGTGTGCAAGGGTTTCAATTTCTCTACATTCTCACCAATATTTGTCTTCTGTTTTCTCAGTAATAGTCATCCTGACAGGTGTGAAGTGCCATTTAATTGTGGTTCTGATTTGCACTTCCCATGCCTAATTATGTTTAGCAGTTTTTCATATACCTGTTGGCCATTTGTAGAATGGAGAAATGTCTACTCAAGTTCTTAGCTTATTTTTCAATGGTGTAATTAGGTTCTTTTTGTTTGACTATGAGTTATAGTCATATTTTGAGGATTAATTCCTTAATTATTTGGTATGGATATTTTCTCCTACTCTGTATGTTGATTTTTCATTGTAAATTTTTTCCTTTGCGTGCAAAAGCTTTCTACCTTGATATAACATCACCATTTGTCTATTTTTTAGCTGCCTGAACTTCTGATGCCATATCTATGAAATAATACATTTTGTCCAAGGTTTATTTACTTTATGTGTTAAGATGATCATGTGATATTTACCCTTTATTCTGCCAATGCAGCGTATCACATTGATTTTTATATGTCCAACTATTCTTGCATCCCAAAAATAAATCTCATTTGATCATGTGTGATCTTTTAAATATGCTGTTGAATTCCATGACAGTATTTTGTTGAGGAATTTTTTTTTCCCATTTTATTTAACAGGCAGAGAGACACAGATGAAGAGAGATCTTCCATTTACTGGTTCATTCTCCAAATGCCCACAACGGCATAGACTAAACCCAGGAGCCCAGAACTCAATCTGTGTCTCCCAGGTGAGTGGCAGGGAACCAAGTACTTGAGACATTATCTGCTGCCTCCCACTGGCAGGAAGCTGGATCAGAACTTGAACTGGACCTGAACACAGGCACTCTAATACAAAATGAAGCACCCCAAGTGGCATCTTAACTACTGTGCCGGGGCCAGCACTGTGGCACAGCAAGTAAAGCTGCCACCTGTAGTGCCAGCATCCCATATGGGCACTGATCCACTTCCAATCCAGCTCTCTGCTATGGCCTGGAAAAGCAGAAGATGGACCAAGTGCTTGGACCCCTACACCTGTATGAGAAGACCTGGAGGAAGCTCCTGGCTTCTGATCAGCACAGCTCTGGACATTGCAGCCAATTGGGGAATGAACCAGCGGATGGACGACCTCTCTCTCTTTGTAACTCTTTCAAATAAATAAGTAAATCTTAAAAAACAAACAAAAAACTACTGCGCCAAATACCCACCCCTTCTTGAAGATTTCTGCATTTATATTTCTCAGGAATACTGGCCTATGGTTGTGTGTGTGTGTGTGAGAGAGTGAGAGGGAGAGAGAGGGAGGGGAGGAGAGGGGAGTAAGAGGAGAGGAGGAGGAGAGGGGAGAAGGAGGAGGAGAGGGGAGAAGGAGGAGGAGAGGGGAGGAGGAGGAGGAGAGGGGAGGAGGAGGAGGAGAGGAGGAGGAGAGGGGAGAGGAGAGGGGAGAGGAGAGGATAGAGGGAGAGGGGAAGGGAGAGGAGAGGGGAAAAAAGAAGACATCTTTAATGTCTTACGTCAGTGTCAGGGTAATGCTGGGCTCAAATCAATTTGGAAATATTCCTCTCTCTCCTACTTTCTGAGAAGAATGTGACAAGAATTTGTGTTAGGGGCCAGTATTGTGCATAGCAGGTAAGTTCCTGCCTGCAGTGCCGGCATTCCAGATGAGCACTAGTTCTAGTCCCAGCTGCTCCACTTTCGACCCAGCTCTGTGCTATGGCTTGGAAAGTAGTAAAAGATGACCCAAGTCCTTGGGCCCCTGCACCAGCATGGGAGACCCGGAAGAAGCTCCTGGCTCCTAGCTTCAGATCGGCCCAACTCCAACAGTTACGGCCATTTGGGAAGTGAAGCAGTGGATGGAAGACTCTCTGTTAACTCTTTCCAATAAATAAAATTAAAAAAAAAAAAAAATTGGAGTTAATTATTTAAATGTTTAGCTGAATTCACTAGTGAGTGATGTCATCTGATCCTGGGCTTTTCTTTGCAAGGCTTTCATGAACTGCTTCAGTTCCACAGTAGTTACGAGTCTGTTCAGACTCTGCTTCTTCATGGTTTAAAAATGAAACTCTCTTTAACACTTCCCTGGGCTCAACTCTATACCTGTGTTGATAATTATAATTCAGACATCTCTTGGATGTAAGCTACTTGAAGGAAATTTTGAACTGTACACTCACTTCACAGTACCTAACAGTGTCTCCTACAATGCAGGCACACAAAGCAGAAATAAATTTAAGTTACTTTCAAAATTAAGATTCTATGGTTCTAACTTTTCTGTAAATCTTATTCAAAATTTAATTGCAGGGCCAGCACTGTGACATAGCAGGTAAAGCTGCTGTCTTTTAACACCAGCATCCCATAACGGGCACCAGTTCGAGTCCTGGCTGTTCCACTTCCAATCCAGCTCTCTGCTAAAGGCTTGGGAAAGCAACGGAAGATGGCCCAAGTTCTTGGGCCCCTGCACCCACATGGGAGACCCAGAAGCTCCTGCGACCTAGTGTTGATCTGGTGCAACCCTCGCCATTGTGGCCATTAGGGGAGTGAACCAGCAGATGGAAGATCTCTCATTTCTCTTTAACTCTTTCAAATAAGTAAATAAATCTTAAAAAAAAAATAATTCCAAAGTGATACTCTATTTATTTGCGCACCTTAATGCTATGCATTATTCTTTCAATCTACTGATGCAAGGCAATAAAAAGCTATTAACAGGAAGACAAAGTTATTTTTATATACATTTTAGATCAAGCAATGCCTAAGTCCAAATTGTATACAACATGTACAACTACAAATCATCCACTTTAAACACCTAAGTGAGGCTTCTGAGCAACACAGGATTACTGAGAGAGTACCATGTAATACTCAAATCAGCACCCTATATTTGTACAAAGGATACCACTCAAGGAGACAGAAATTTAGAGTTTTAATTTCACTTCTTGAATCAAGTATGGGATTTTTGGGCAAGTCAGAACCTCTGAGGCTCAGTGCTCATCTTTAAAATGTTTCAAAGCAATCTGAATATTAAGAAATAACACAAGGGGCCAGCACTGTGGCACAGTAGGCTAAGCTTCTGCCTATAGTGCCAGCATCCCATATAGGTGTCGGTTTATGTCCTGGACAGTTGTCTTCCAGTCCAGCTCTCTGCTTCTGACCTGAGAAAGCAGCGGAGGATGGTTCAAGTGCTTAGGCCCTTGCACCCAAGTAGGAGAACCAGAGAAAGCTCCTGGCTCCTGGCTTCAGACTGGCCCAGCTCCAGCTGTTGCCTCAACATTGACTGCACACTGGAACTGTCTTAGGGCAGTACTGCTCACATTTACTGTACATCTATAAGTCACTATTCATATTTTACAAATGGGGGTTCCAGTTCTGGCTAGGCTAGAGAAAGCAGGCTCCACCCTCGGGCTGGTGTTGTGGCACAGAGGGTTAAGTCATTGTCTATGATGCCAGCATCCCATTTGGGCACTGGTTCAAGACCCAGCTGCTCTATTTCCGATCCAGCTCCCTGCTAATGTACCCAGGAAAGCAGTGGAAGATAGTCCATGTGTTTAAAATTCTTGCACCCAGGATGGAGCTCCTGGGTTCAGGCTGGCCCAGGCCCCGGCCATTACAGCCACTGGGGAGTGAACCAGTGGATGGAAGATCTCTCTCCTTTTCTCTCTGTGTCTCCCTTTCTTGGTAACTCTGACCTTCAAATAAATAAAATTTTTAAAAACAAAACAAAATGAAACAAAAAACCACAGACTCCATCCATCTTGTCTGCTAATTAGAGCTAAAAATCCTGGGGAGAATATACAAAGCAAATACACAAGGATTCTGAAAAGTAAACAAAGCAGACTAAGGAGAGAAAAATCAAAACTCAAACATTGAGTTTCCTGGTTTTTATTTTTTTTTTCTCCCACATGTCCCAGTTTAGACTTCAGCAGAGCCCAAATCCCAAAACCGAGCAGTGGGTGGAGACAGAAAAAAGCTCCAGGAGGAACTCTTTTTGGCTACAAAACCAGGAAAGAAGATGGTGAGTGTAGGGGAATGGCCCAGAGTGGCAGAGAGATACTTCCTTCTGACAAGGGAACTAGGAGACTGTGATCTGAACAGTATGAAGGGAATGCATGTTTTTTTTTTTTTTCCCTTCTACTTTTTGTCTCTCATCACTTTGTCCATCTGTAGAAAGGTACAACATCACAGACTAAAACCTCAGGTTTCTAGGCAGAGAACCCTGAAAAGATGCCGGGAGCCTGAATACAGAGGAAATTGTGGAAATCTCTGTATGTAATCTTGAGCTCACCAGAGCTATACTGGCAGAACTGACCAAAGACAGTGTAACAAAGGCTTTGAGAACTGCACCACAGCATGGGCTGTGACACCCATGTCCTAAGGGGGTACACATGGGACCTGAACAGCATTACAAAGATTCTGAAGACTAAATCAGAATCTGACCCATAGCCCACATTGGGCAATTTGAACCTAACGAGGTTGATTGTCTGCTAAAACACAAAATCAAAATTAAAAAAAAAAAAAAAAAAACATTCTCCAGAAGATTTTAACAGCCCCCAGTCCCACGATATTCAAAACGTCTATGATACAATCCAAAACTCAACATATTTTACAGACAAGAAAGAAAGATGCTAAGATGTCCAAAGTCACAAAACCAACAAACAGTAATGCATGACTAGAACTAAAGTTTTTAAATTATACACCCAGAGCTTTCTCTGAAGCCAGGGATCTTTCTAGACAGTTATTCCAAAGTTAAGGGCATAAGACACTGAATCAAATGAATTCTTTAAACCTGAATGTGGCCAAATGACAAAAAGTGTTTTAGCATTTTACTTCCTTGGGCTTGTATGTGCTTTACCATGACATAGCAGGTCAGCAGTATTGAGACAGAAGAGAAAATCCCAATATGAGCTTTTTTTTCCCCCCCTTAACTTTCATTCTGCTCAGAAGCAAATTTCTCTTCAAAATGTTTTCTCTCTTCAAGGTAGACTAAAACTTTCCTTCTCCTCCCTCAGTAATACTATTCCATAGGAAGTCTTTACGACACTCTCTGCAGTCCTTTCTTAACCCACTATTAAATAGGTTCTAAAAGGTACCTCACCAATTCTTCATTTCTGGAGTCTGGCATAACACATAACATATAGCAAGTATTCAATGAGATAAGCTCCCATTAATGAGGCATTCTAAATGTTGTTCCAATTAATGATTACCAGCCTATTAACTCTTCAGATGAGGAGATAAATATGCAACTGAGGTAAAGTAACCTGGTAAGGGATATTCTAGTAAGCCTCAGGTGAACGAACTGAAGGAGTCTTGCCTCATAGTAAAAACCAATACCCTCCATGCAGTCAGACTCTCACTTTAATAAGCTTTGTTTATTTCTATTATGCCTGAGCTTTGTCCATCAGATCATCAAGAGATAATCTAGTTGCAGATATATCAGCTGGAAGGCTACACTGAAATATAACAAAATAAAGATATTCTTAACTCTTTGTTTTCTTTACTTCCCTAGGCACCAAATTTTTCCAAGGGAATAGTGTTTCTAGGCAACATGTTCATAACAAAGAATATGTACACAGTGAAAAGAGATACAAACCAAAATTGAGTAACTCTGGAAGAAGCTAAAATTCTGTACTCATGCAGGCGAACAGAATTATTTCCTACTCTTTTTGAATTTGATGGTGGTGGTGGGAGAGGCATTTAGTAGCAAAGCACAAAGGCATGGTAATGAATAGCACAAACTGAATTCCTCATAAGCTGAGCAACCTTGGGCAAAGTATCCTTTTGGAATCTGCTCCTTGATGTGTAAATTGGAAAATACCACCACTTAACTTCCCAAAAGATTGCTATGAGCCCCAGAGGACAGACATAAACTACAGAGCACAAAGCCTTGCATTTGGCTAGCTATTGTTAAAAGAGCCAAGTACAAAAATCACTTTTCATTTCAAGGTAATACCTAGTGGATGATCCCTTCACCTCATTCTGCAACCTGACTAGAATTTCCTCTGAATGCAACTTCAGCTCATCTTCCTTTGCCTCTTCCATATTACAGCAGTCCAAGTCACACTGCGCCTTACTGCGCCTTTAGAGGCCTCTTCTGTAACCTGCAGCACACCCACCAATATGAACCACAAGCCCACCAAACAGACTATAATTCACTTTCAGTGCATGTTTTCAAGAAAGAGTGACCACTGGTTTCAGCAATGACAAGAATTCCTTTTAGACACCAACATCTACCATCCAAGACTTTTTCCTAGCAGATCATCCTACCAAGCACTTTACTACAACTAAGAACTCTTTCAGGTAGCAAAAGAACAATTTATCTAGTCACCTACTAGGAACTACTGATGCCTGTCTCCCACTGTATGCTCACAAATTAACTGCCTTAAAACTTAAAGAGCCAGCTATGTGTACTAAGTATTGCATTTACCTTCTATCTCCACCAAAGGTTCCTGAGTAAACTCCTGAAAGAATTTGTAGAAGAACTTACTGCAAGCAGCCAAAACAGCCTTGTGAGCCTTAAAATGGTGTCCTACATTAAAAAAAAAAAAAAAAGAAAATCAAACATATACACAAAAATCAAATGTGAAACTATAACCCAGAAGATTACATCAAGCAAAATAGATCTTTCTTCATAGTACCTACATAAATTATTGAACTAAAGTAAAAATATTTTTGGCAGGTATCTTGGCAGATTTTGATCTTAATTAGATGAAAACCAAATCTTTACTTCAAAAGCTTTATAAACTCAGTCTTCCAAAGGCCAGTTTAGGTAAACAGTCTAACACTTTCCGCTACCTTCAATTAACTAGTGAGAAGTATATCATACTGCTATATACAAAAATAAAAAACCACAAAATGTCATACATCATTTGGAAAGAAGGAAAAAAACACAGAATAAGCACAAAGCTGGATGCATCTGTGATAGGAAATATTTTAATGTGCCTAATATTTGTTAGTTTAATTTGTGACAGACCTGTAATAAACAAGACCTTGTCTCAAAAAGCTTACCTTCCCTAAACAGAAAAGGTATCATGCAGGACTTGCCTCCATTATAATGACAACTCCTAATTCTGGCAAGAACCCACTTTATTTTGGGGGCTCCCAAAGCTGATGTGAGTGCTGCGAAGGACTCTCTCACATTCTCCCAAGGGACTCCAGTGGGGGGACTCCTCAAAGCGGCTCACCCACAGGAGCTATATTAGCCAGACATGCTGTGACATCCTCCCAATCCCCAACGCCATCATTTTACACTCAAGTGTGCAAGGAGAAAAACTTCAACCGGCTCGAGGAGCAGCTAAAATGCGATGAACCCCACAATGTGTCGAAAGCAGGACTGGCCAACCAGCCTCCTGCAGCAGGACCTACGTGAGCAGTCGCTGACAAGTGCCCTCCAGTCCCAGCGCACACCCTGCACACTTTGGGAGGGAGTCACAGACGGTGGATTTAAAAAAAAAAAAAAAAAAAAAGGCGGGTGGTGGAAGGGAAGAGACCGAAGCCCCAAATTCGCGCCGGTGCCCACTGCCCTACCCACCGTCGACAATCAGGGTGATGTCAGTAAAGCGGTCCTGCTCTCGCTGTTCATTCAATCGGTCCAGGATCATTTTATGATGTTCAGGGAACTCCTGAAGGCATTCCATCGTCTCTTCGGCCTCCATGGCCGTCGGGATGCTCTACAAAAGAGGAGCATGATAATGTACACCCATGAGGTCGGGCGGAGAAACAAAACCCCTAAAGCATAAAATTTATAAAAAAAAAAAAATGAAAAACAACACACAAAACCCCAGCAACGTGAAAGGGATGGGGGAGGGTGAGGGAAGAGAAGAGGAAGGCGAGGGAAGAAAGAAAGGCGAGCCCGAGTGGCCGCCGCGCGTTGGGGGCCGGAGCCGCGGCCGCGGGACTCCGAGCCTGACCTAATTGGAGTCGGGAGACGCGAGCTGGAGCGGGGTGGGCACAGCGCCGGAGGCTCCGGACGCCGGGGCGCGCAAGTCCGGCAAGGGAGGGGACCGGGCCGCCGCAGCGGCCCGCCAACGGCCCGCCGAGCCCTTCCGCCCAGCCCGGGTTCCCACCGTCCCCGGGACCCGGTCCGGCCCGCGGCCCACAACGACTCCCGGGTCGCCTCTCCCTCCCCCGCCCTCCCTCTTCTCCCCCGCCCCAACCGGGCCGGCACTCACACAGGGAAGGAGGAGCGCCCCGGGCCTGCGCGTCACTTACGTCGACGTCCTGCGTCACCGCGTCGGGCTCCGGCTGACGCGAACGCCTTCCGAGAGCGGGCCGAGGCAGGGAGGCGCCACGCCCCCAGAGCGCCCCTCCGTGGAGGGGCGGAGCCAACTCGGGATTTGGCGCTCGCCGAGGGCCAGGCCGCGCGTTCCCAAAGGAAATCGGGTTGCACTGGGGTTGGGCCCCAGCAGGGCCCAGCTGTCGGGGAAGCGGGGAGCTTAAGCCGCCGCCCTGCACCTTCCACCTCCCACCGCCCCTCACTTTACTCCAGGTGCCGGCGCTTCAGCCCGCGAGCTCAGGATAAAGTCGCCTACCGCGGCCCGGGCGTTTTAATCCGTGCCGCTCAGCCACGCCCCACCCCGCCCACTTTCCTCCCAGCCCGCGGTCGGCCCGCCTTACCTAGCTCGTGGTCCGCCCTCTCTTCTCTCTTTCCGTGCTCGCCCCCGCCGAGGCAAGGCTCGCCCCGCACCTCTCCCCGCGCCGCAGCTGCGACCCGCGCCCCATGGTCCCCGCATGAGCCGGGGCGCTCCCGCAGCTCGGGTCCAGCCGGTGTGCGTGCGCTCGCTCGGACGCGCCGGCGGCGGCGGCCACGGGCGCGAGCACGTTCGGGCCGCCGGGGACCTTCCTCCCCAGTGCCCGCCCTCGTCGCGCGGGGCCTGCGGCACGTGTTCGCTGGGTTGGGTACCTGGAACTGCTCAGAGTTGCTGATGCCCGGACTATACAGCGCCCCCACTCCGGCCTTAAAGAGACCCGTGACCCGTGACCCGTAATGACGGTGCGTGGCTGGCTCTTCCATTCACCTGGAGAAAGGCTTTTTGAGAATAATGTGGTAGTGGAGTTCTTTTCTCTAAAAGTCTCAAAACAGGGAGTGGAGAAAGCTGAAATAGCTACATGCAAGAGTGAAGGTGCTCATTACTTAAACACACGCATACTAAGGGTCAACACTGAGGCAGGCACTCGTTAAGGGGCCGGGAAATTAGCGATGGGCCAGGTGTCTGTGATTGCCACGTTGTTAATCTGGTAGATGGACATTTTGAACAGAAACTGTTTCTGTGCACTGCTGAGTGTTATGTGAAGAAACATAACCTGGGGGTCCTTGAAAGTCAGCGACCTGTAGGCAACCTGAGTGTTCTTAGCCAAGGGTACAGCACACGCAGAGAGGCACCGGGATGGCGGAATTCCCGGAACCGAAAGTCTGGCTAGAACAGACCCACAAGGGCCTTGCAAAAAGTTTAAGCATGGGGCTGGCACTGTGGCATAAAAGGTCAAGCGTCTGCCTGCTGCGCTGGCATCCTATATGGGTGGCCAGTTGGAGCCCTGGCTACTCCACTTCGGACCCAGTACCCTGCTAAAGTGCCTGGGAAAGCAGCAGAAGACAGCCCAAGTCCTTGGGCCCCTGCACCCACATGGGAGACGTGGAAATAGCTGTTAATAGTGTTAACCCGTTGTGCCACAGCGCTGGCCCCACGATTAACTTTTTATAAAGATTTATTTGTATGAAAGGCAGAGTCACAGAGAGGAGAGACAGAGAGAGATCGTCTATCTGCTTGCTCCCTCGCCAGCATAGCTGTAATGATCAGGGCCGGGCCAGGCCGAAGCCAGCAGTCTGGAACTCAATCCTGGTCTCCTTTGAGGGTGCAGGGGACCAAAGACTCTGGCCATATTCCACTGCTTTCCCAGGTGCACTTATCTATTTATTTATGTATGTATGTATTTTTAGATTTATTTATTTTGTAGAGAGAGAGAGCTCTTCCATCTGCTGGTTCACTCCTCAAATGACCACAATCGCTAGGGCTGGGCCAGGCTGAAGCCAGGAGCTAGTAGCTTCTTCCTGGTCTCCCACGTGGGTGGCAGGGGCCCAAGCACTTGGGCCATCCTCTGTATCTTTCCCAGGCCCATTAGCAGGCTGTGGCTTAACCCCCTCTGCCGCAATGCAGGCCCCTCTCAGGTGCATTTTAGAGTGATAAATTTAGTACTATAAGAAGAATGAATTGAATACAACAAATTATAAGTAGAACCCAACTGAGAGGTCACTCAATGCAACATCCTATAGAGGGAAACCAGGTTGAAGAAGTGCAGAAGCACAATGACCACAAAGATCCTGCTTGTGGGAATGAGGCTGACTGCTTTGTTCCAAGAACTGACTTTCTTCCTCTCCCCTCCCTGGGATATCCGAGGTCTGTACTGGCTGGTGTCATCTTATTCTCTCACCCCCAGTAAATATTGTAGGAACTGATGTAGACTGTCTAGTTAGGCACAGACTGCAAAATGCTGTTTTAGGGGCTAATGCGTAGAAACCAAAAATTTGTGTGTGTATTTAAAGATTTATTTGAAACAGTGACAGAGAGAGAAAAGAGATCTTCCACCTGCTAGGTCACTCCCCTAACGAAAGCAAGCAACCAGGAGCTCCATTCAGGTCTCCCATGTGGGTGGCAGGAACCCAAGTACCTGGGCCAAGTGGAGCAGCCAGGACTCAAATCTACACTCTGATATGGGATGCTGGCGTCACAGGTGGCAACTTAATCTTCTGCAGCACAACGCTGTTCCACTGAAAGCGTTTTAACTCTTTTTCTGTAAAGTGCTGATCTTTCTGATGTAACTATTTCTCTTGTTGCATTTTTCTACTTCAGTACATTTGGTGTAGTAGATAAATGACTGGTACTTTATTGGCTCAGTAAAAACACGTTTGGAAAAAAAAAGTATGTGGTAGCTTCTTTCAAACTGTCAGATTCCAAATATTTGTTCACTTTTCAATCCCAATTTTTCCCTCATCTTCTCTTATACTACTATGCCTGAATGACTGATAACACTGAACAGTGCTGTTGAAATAAATAAAAGGTGGGAAAGAAGGGTGTACCTGTAGAGGGGGGTGGGTCAGGCCAATTTTAATGGTTTTTTTGTTTGTTTGTTTTGGATAGGAGACACTTGGGAAATTTAAATGCTGACAAGGAAAGATCCAGCAGAAGATGATTAAAAAAAAATACAGGAAAGGGGCTGGAGCTGTGGTGTAGTAGGTTAAGCATTCACTTCTAGTGCTGGCCTGTGGGAGCTCCTGGCTCCTGGCTTCAGATAGGCCCAGTTCTGGCCATTGTGACCATTTGGGGGGTGAACCAGTGGATGAAAGACCTCTCTCCGTCTGCAGTATAGTTTTCTTGCTGTGTGCTTCTGTCATGCCAAATGACAAGCCCAGTAAGTATGAATTTCTTGCTTTCAAATGCATTTTGTACTTGGACTTCTGTTGCCCACTTACACAGCTTTAAATAAACAAGCTAGCCTGATACCCATGGAGTCTCCTCAAGTAGCCTAAATTCCCCTCCTATGCATAGAGGTGTTCAGGCAAGATACAAGATTTGCTCTTTCTCCTACCACTTCTCTTTTCTCTACCTGTGTCTATAATTCTGTCTCTCAAATAAATAAATAAAAACTTGGAAATAAATACAGGGAGAAAATCAGCTAAGTATGCAAGAGAGGGATTTACTTCGTTTTTTCTTTTTTTTTTTTTAAGAGCAAACTATTTATTTTTCTTGTGCTATGAAAACAAAAACAAATCCAGGCAAATAATGAAATAAACACATTTGTATTCCATCCTGAGTTCTCCATGCTAGAATTTAGTCAACAATTCAAGTTTAGGTTACTTCAGCATTTCTTCTGAAGGTTTCCGAGTCTCAGTCTCATAACCATGCTTCTCCAGTTCAGCTCATAACTGATTGGAGAAGTCATGCTCCATGTTATCACCATCCCAATTATCCTCCCAGACATGTGCATCTTCATCTAAACCAGCCCGGTCTATTGCAGGGAACACCTTGAACTTGTCTTCGTCCTCCTCTAGGAGACCTAAGTTTACCAGGTGCTTTTTCTTGGACATTGATACCTTCCTCACTGAACACCTCCCAGATGAGTAGGAAACACAGAGGCTTCACTCTTCTCCAGTGGAGTCCACACGGCCACACCACCGGCCAAAAGGGTGTTACTTTCAAGAAGTTGAGGAAATTCCTAACTGAATACCTCTAGTTTCTCTGTGAAATGGATGACGAGGTCGTCTACTAAAAGCTACAATTTCAGAGAGGAAGACCAAGTGTGTGTTGGAGATGGAGAAGTTTGTGATTAGTTGTCCAAGGCTGTGCAACACATTACCCCTCAAATGGGCAATTTTATTACTTCACAATTAATATCAGTCAGAAATCTGTGTGTTACTTACCTGGGTTTTCAGGATCTCTCAATGCTCCGATCAAGATGTCCGCTGGGAGTGCTGTCATCTCACCGCTCTGCTGGGGGAGGATCTGTTTTCTAGGTCATTCAAGTGGTTCTTCACAACGTTCATTTGTTCACAGGATCTTAGACTAAGGACTTAAGTTCTTCACAAAATCTCCCTCTGGGGGCTGGCGCTGTGCTGTAGAAATTTAAGCCACCGCTTGTGGTGCAGGCATCCCACATGGGCAACAGTTCTGTTTGAGTTCCTGGCTGTTCAGCTTCTGATCCAGCTCCCTGCTAATGTGCCTGGGAAAGCAGCAGAGGATAGCTCAAATCCTTTGGCCCATGCACCCATGTGGGAGACCTGGAAGAATCTCCTGCTTCTGGCTTCAGTCTGGACCAGCCCCAGCCATTGCGACCATTTGGGGAGTGAACCAGCAGATGGAAGACCTCTCTATCTTTCTCTCTCTCCCACTCTCTCTCTCTGTAATTCTGCCTTTCAAATATACAATAAATCCTTTTAAAGAAAGAACAGCTACAACAACAACAAAAAAATCCCAAAACCCCAAAACAGGAAATGCAGTAGCATTACCAGTATCTGGTAGCAATTGATGACATGGAATTTCTATAGCAGTAGTCTACCAAACACTGTAGCTTCTTCCAGAAGAATTCATCTGCAAAGACAGATGACACAATGAAGCTAGTGTTCAAACACAGTTCTCTGGTATGAATGTG